TCCCAGTCCCCCCCAGTCCATCCCAGTCCATCCCAGTCCATTCCCAGTCCATCCCAGTCCATCCCAGTCCATTCCCAGTCCATCCCAGTCCCTCCCAGTCCATCCCAGTCCATCCCAGTCCATTCCCAGTCCATCCCAGTCCATCCCAGTCACTCACTGGTGCAGGGTGGGACCGGGCCCCAGCCGGGCCAGGAGGCAGCGCCGCCCCAAACCCCTGGAAAAGAGGGAAAAATGGGAAAAAATGGGAAAAATGGGAAAAAAATGGGGAAAAATGGGGGAAAAAACAGGGAAAATGGGAAAAAATGGGGAAAATGGGGAAAGAAATGGGGAAAAATGGGGACAAATGGGGAAAAAATGGGAAAAATTGAGAAAGAAATGGGGAAAAATGGGGGAAAAATGGGGACAAATGGGGAAAAAATGGGAAAAATTGAGAAAGAAATGGGGAAAAATGGGGGAAAAATGGGGACAAATGGGGAAAAAATGGGAAAAATTGAGAAAGAAATGGGGAAAAATGGGGGAAAAATGGGGACAAATGGGGAAAAAATGGGAAAAATTGAGAAAGAAATGGGGAAAAATGGGGGAAAAATGGGGACAAATGGAGAAAAAATGGGGACAAATGGGGAAAAAATGGGGAAAAAATAGGAAAAATGGGAAAAAATGGGAAAAATGGGGAAAGAAATGGGGAAAAATGGGGAAAAAATGGGGAAAAATGGGGAAAAAATGGGAAAAATGGGAAAAATGGGAAAAATGGGGAAAGAAAGTTGGGATGGGAGAAGGGATTTGGGATTGGAAAATGGATTTGGGATTTTGGGGATGGGAGAAGGGTTGGGAGGACAAGGAGGGGACTTGGGGGTGGCACCGGGACACCGGGAGTGACACCGGGGGTGACCTGGGAGTGACCCTGACACACCGGGAGTGACCCTGACACACCGGGGGTGACACCGGGAGTGACACCGGGAGTGACCCTGACACACCGGGAGTGACACCGGGAGTGACCCTGACACACCGGGAGGGCCACCGGGGGTGACCTGGGAGTGACCCTGACACACCGGGAGTGACACCGGGAGTGACTCTGGGACACCGGGAGTGACCCTGACACACCGGGGGTGACACCGGGAGTGACCCTGACACACCGGGAGTGACCCTGGAACACCGGGAGTGACCCTGACACACCCGGAGTGACACCGGGAGTGACCCTGACACACCGGGAGTGACCTTGACACACCGGGGGTGACACCAGGAGTGACCTTGACACACCGGGAGTGACACCGGGAGTGACCCTGGAACACCAGGAGTGACCCTGGGGTGACCCGGGGACACCGGGAGTGACCCTGGAGTGACCCTGGAGTGACCCTGGGGTGACCTGGGGTGACCTGGGGGTGGCACCGGGACACCGTGAGTGACCCGGAGGTGACCCGGGGATGACCCTGACACACCGGGAGTGACCCAAGAGTGACCCTGGGACACCGAGGGTGACCCAAGAGTGACCCTGACACACCCGGAGTGACACCGGGAGTGACACCGGGGGCGGTTCGGGCCCGGCCCGGCCCAGCCAGACCCCGGGACGGGAACGAGCGCGAGTTTTGGGCGGGAAGCGAGACATCGCCTCAGGCCCGGCTCGGCCCCGC